AGGGTGCCAGGTCTCACTACGGCTTTGCGTGTGTACTTGTACGTACCCCGGAGAGGAAGCGTGCAGGATGTGTGCGTGATGCACGTGTGTGGAGGCGCATGGGATGCAGGTATTAGGGGCTGTTGGTGGGTGACTGAGAGCGGGGTGTGTGTGTGGGGCAGTGGGTTCCCTTTTCAGGGATGCATGGGTGGAGCGTGTGGGGAGTGGGAGTGGGTGTTTGCCATGTGCTGGTGTGTCTGTGCATGGCATGCATGGACAGTGGGCATGCAAGGGTGATAGTCCTGAACTGAGGTTGTGCAGGAGCTGTGGGTCACATGTGTAGGAACCCTGGCTGAGCGGCACATTGGGGGCGACCCTGGATTGTTCAGAGCAAGGGTTCCAGAGGCTGAGGACCCATGCTCATGTCGCAGTTCTAAACCCCAGCCTCAGTGTCTGCATCAGTGAAATGGGGATAACAGAATGCTGGGGGGCTGTGATGGTCAAAGGCAGCGGTGCAGGTAAAGTGTTTCCAGTCCCTGACCTGGGGCGAGGCCTCTGCAGCGGTGGGCAGAGGTCTCTGGAACTCCCTGGAAAGTGCTCCCCTGGGGAGCTCACACCTCCAGGTGCTTGGAGAGCTCCAGCTGGGTGCCTGTGGGGCCGGGACTGGTGGGAGGCAGAAGATGCGGGAGCGTCTGTAGTGGGCTGTGTGGTGGGTATGGGGCTGTGAGTGTGAGGAAAGGTTGTTTACGAGTTGTGAGTTTCATGTCATTGTCCGAGGGTGTCCCTGACATGGGGAATGTGGTCAGTGATGAATGACTTAGGGGACATGATCTAACGTGGGAAGGGTCGGTGCCCGCCACTCACGTGGTTATGGGATCTTGCTGAGGCTGTGTGGGGTGTGTGGAGTGTATTAGAGGAGGAGAGGGGTGCAGCTGTGTGTCTGTGTGTGTGCAGTGAAGGGGGCAGTAAATGGGAAAGTCCTCAATGACATGTGCTGGTCTGTTGTCTCTGAGCTGTGGTGGGTGCACAGGTTGGGGTCAGTAAATGGGGATCCAGACTGTATGTGTGTGTATGCTGGTGTGTGTGGGTGTGTGTGCGTGCACGCGAGCGGACTTGTGTTGGGTGTGTGGATATGTTTATCAGGCACAGGAAGGTGTGCTGTTTACCTGAAGGGGGCGCAGTGAGGGTCAGGGGAAGGCAGGTATTTGGATTCAGTTCGCCATTAAGGGAATGGCATGGATAATTATGCAAATTATGCATGGAATTATGCAAATAGAGAGGTCATTTGGGGGTCAAAGACTGTCACCCTCCTCTTCTGGCATTTTGTGACTTCTGAGGCTTTCCCTGCTGCCTCCCAGACTCAGTTCCCCACCCCCATCTCTCTCCTCCTCTCTTCTCTCTGAACCCCTGGCAGCTACAGCTACCACACCCCTATAGTGTTTCTGGGAGGTTCCCATGAGCCTTGGCCCCGCAGGGAGGGGTAGAGCTGGCACTTAGTAGGCTTGGGGGGGACTGGGTAAGATGGTATCCTGCACCCCACCCCACGGGGCTCAGGTGTCCCCAGCATTGAGTTTCCCAGGGTGAGCTCAGGGGTGACTGGGTTATTGGCCATTCTTCCCTCTACCCTGTCTGGGGGCTGCTTATTATTTGGAAAGAATGTTCTCTTGGATGCAGTTTTGGAAAATCACTGAGATGGCCCCTTCCCCAGCTTTGTCTGATGAGAGCGTGAGGCTAAATTAAGATGTGAGAGAATTCTCTCTCTCAGCCTCCCACTCTCGCTTTCTCTCTCTTTCTCTCGCACACTGAATCCTCCCTCCACTCCCGCCTCCCTGCACCCCCTCATGCCCCTCTGACCTCGGCTTCCCTCTGTCCTTGCATCTCTGTCCCCATCCAATGACTCTCCCTCCCCCCCACCTCCGTCATCCTCTATGTTCCTCCATGATCTCTCCCTCTCCTGCCCACCCCCGCCCCCATCTCTGTGGGGAGCTGGAGCTCCTGGTCCTTAGCATGGAGGAGATGGTCGTCATGGTAACGGTTGTCATGTCGATGGCTACTGAGCTAGGGATGAATAGTATCTAGGTGAGAGCTACCTGAGTGGGGACTGATAGGTTCACAGGAGGCTCCATACTTGTCTTTAAGCCTCAGAGCCACACAGTGTGCGCCCCCATCTAGTGCCTACCCCCCATGCCTACCCTATTTGCACCCAAAGGCATGCCAACATGCCATACCTCTCTGTGGCTGCCTTTAGGTGAGTGTGTATCAGGGTGTGTCTGTATGTGTTCTTTCTGTGTCTCTGGGTGTGTTGTTTCAAGGCTCTGTGTGGCTTTGCTGGGGGGTGCGGAGGTCTTTGAATTTGTGCAGACCTTTCTAGGAGCAGGGTGTTAGGGGCTGGTGTGTGGTGCTGGTCACTGAGGAATCATGAGGACTCCTTATTTTGAGCCCCACATTTATCCCAGTTTGGGGGTCTCCAGGGACCACAGACTTCTTAGAACTCCTCCTCCCAGTAAAGGGCTTCCAGCCTTCCCTGGGCTGCCTGGAAGGATGGAAAAAGTGAAGATGGCCCCGCTCAAGAGAGGCATTCTGAGCCCCGGTCCCTGCTTGGTCCCCATCCTGCTGCATGTCTTTGGCTTCTGGCTGCTTGCCTAAGAGCAGAGCAGAAAGTCTCCCAGGGACCCCAGCTTACCAGCCCAGGCTGTAGAGGCTGGTAGTATGGGAGCGTCTGGCCCCCTTACCTCAGGTCCTTCTGGGCAGTGGGGGCAGAGATGGGAGCTGGGGAAAGCTGGGTGGTAGCTGCTCTGAGCTCCTGAAATGTCTAAAACGGAGGAAGACCCAGCAATTAGTCACGGAGCAATTACTCTAATTGTTCCACTCCATGACTCACTGGTAGCAAGTAAATACTGATTAATTCATTACTTTGAGACTGTGTGTGTGTGTGTGTGTGTGTAACAGGGGTATGGTGGGGGGGAATCTCTTGGCTCCCTGCCCTGGCCTCCTGCCCTGCCTGGCGTGGGTAGGGTTTTGGAGCAGGTGGTCGAGGCGCAGGGCCGGAAGCCAGGACTGAGATCCTCTCTCTAGCTCCCTGCAAACTCCAGAAGGGGGCCTGTCAGGGGTGGGAGTGTGAGACGCTGAGCACAGAACGCAGTGCCGATCCAGCCCCTCTCCTGCTCACACACCTTGCATGGCTCCTATGTCAGTCAGACAGCGTGGATGCTCAGACACCACCTCAGACCTGCTGAGCCACTGAGTTTTCGGAGTATTCTGAGATACAGTCAAGGTAAAAAATGACCAAGAGTTTCCAAGAGAAAGTTGTCAGCAAGGGCCTCTGATGGGGCTTCCCCAACCTCGGCGCTGGCTTGTCCTTGCCCCACCTCCGCCCGGGAGTTATTCACATCTCCTAGCTCCAAGCCTGTTCCTTAACAGATACTTCCTGATACCTACTGTGTGTCTGACACGGTCCTGCCCCCATTGAGGGATAGTTCGGGACAGAGGGGTGGGCACAGTCACGGAGAAAGTATGTACCCAAACAAACACGGCTCACAAGTAGCAATAGATGTGAATTCAGAAGCACAGGATGCTCTGAAAGATCCAGATAGGAGGGCTTCTTGGAAGAAGTGATAGGGGAGCAGGAGTCAGCTGGTGGAAAGGTGGAGGATGAGGGAATGGGAAGGAAGAGTGTTCTAGGTGGAGGGAACAGCATGAGTGAAAAGGGCAGGAGAGATCAGTCCTGTTCCAGGAACAGATGAGGCCAGAGGCTGGAATCCAGTGATCGAAGGGGTTCCGAGGGGCCCTGGATGAGGCCTTCAGACCTGACTCTGATGGCGTAGGCTGTACTTCCCCAGCTCGGAGCCTTTGCTTATTCTGTTCCTTCTGCTTGAAATGCCTTTCTCTCAGTTGATTAAGATGCAAGTGTGAATCCTTCAGATCTGAGCACCAGGTCACCTTTCTCTGAAAGCTCTCAGCGGGTAGGAACTGTGGCTGGCCTCAGTCTGGACAGGGTCAGAGGTGTGGTTGGGAGTTTGTGTGCCTGCCTTGGATGTCCTGAGTGCTGGCTGTCAGCCCAGGGTTGCAATAGGGAGGGGCGGTCCCAGCCAGGAGCCGCAGCTGCCGGCGTTCCCAGGTTCTGATTCTGGGAGGAGTCTTGGGTCTGGTGGGCTGGACCCTGGGAGAAGCCCCTCTCATAGCCACCCCCCGGCCCCCAGGAGACCCTTGTGGCAGAGTAGAAGTGGCCTCAGGCCCTGAGCTGACTCTGGACATTGAGATACTTTGGGGGGAGGTGGAGACAGGGGGGCTGACTTTGTTTTGGGGAGGACCCAGGGCCAGGGCTGGAGCCCACTCCCTTCCCTCCTCCCCCTCTTATCCAGGATACTTCCCTCCCAAAGCCCCAAACCTCCCCCACATTCAAGTCTGTCTGTTGGGACTAACTGCACTGCCTTTGGGATTTTGAGATGTGAGACTTTGGGTCCCCAGCAGAGTCTGAATCATATCACATCATGTGTTCTCTGGTAGCCTGGGGCAACAGGGCCTCAGACACCCACTCTGTGGAAGGGACTGATGGTGCTGCCCACACTGAGGGTAACGCTAACCTGTGCGGAGCACCTGCTGCTGTGAGGTGTGCTCAGCACGTGAGCGCGCTGCATGCTCCCAGCAACCCGTTAATGAGTAATGTGTAAACCAGGGCTTGGAGAGACTAAGTAACTTGCCCTGGGTCACACAGTTAGTAGGTGATGGGGCCAGGACTCAAATCCATCATTCTGGCTCTAAACCCAGTTCTGCCACCTGCAGTTCTGTTCAGAGGGTTGAGGAGTGATGGGGTTTCCAGTGGTGGCCGTCAGACAGGAAGGTGGAATTGCTTTCCTGGCCTCCGGGTGGGTGGAAAGCAGTAATCAGACCTACCTGGCTCTCTGTTTGCCCCCGTGGAGGCCACATCCTATGCTGTCCTTCCACTGTCACCTGGCCCATGAGAGTGTCTGTTGTTCCTCTGGCTGTGTCCAGGCAACTGGCTTCAAGTGCTGAGCCTTGTGCCCGATTCTGCCCTCCCTAGGCTCAGCGCTGGCGCAGTGAGAACTTTGAGAGGCCCGTGGACCTCGAGGGCTCGGGGGACGACGACTCCTTCCCCGATGATGAGCTGGACGACCTCTACTCTGGGTCTGGCTCGGGCTGTGAGTATCCCCTTCTCTTTCCCTGCATGTTGTGTTGGCAGTGCCAGTCTGCCTCTGGTGCCCCATCCGAGGCATTGATGGCAAGGAAGAGGAACCCACGCAGGCTCACCTGAATGGTGGGGTTGGGGAGGGGAGGTCCAGCAGGGGCAGCTCATGGCCTCAAGCACAGGAAGAGCAGGCCAGCCTCTGCGGAGTGGAACCAGGGCCTTGAGGCCCCAGAGCCTAGCACACCTGCTCTGCATCCTTTCTGTCTCTGCATCTCTTTGTGCACTGCTGGAATCTCCCTGCAGACCTCTGACTTCTATCGGGGAACACAGATCCCCCTCAGTAACTGAGTTTTCAAGTACAGTCCTGACCACTTGGAGGAACTTAGTAGCCACTTCTCAGTTGCAATGGCCAGTCCTCAGCAAAGACCATCTGATTGGTTCAGCTTGGATCAGGTGGCCACCTTCTGTCCAATCAGCTGTGGCCAAGGGCAGGCTTAGGGCAGTGATGGTAAAGGGCAGGTGCCTCCAGTGGTGCCTGGGACAGCCCAGTTCCGTGGCCCCGCCCAGAAAGGCCAGCAGAGTCGCATGACGTAAGGGAGGAGCACTGAGTTCAAATCCAGTTTCACCACTTAATAGCTGTGCCACCTTTAGCCATTTTCCCTCCCGTGAGTCTGTATTCTTATGGTGAATGGAGAGCTTTCTTCTCAGAGCCTCTGGAAGGCTTCTGTTTAAGATGTCAGGGTCTGGCACAGAGAAGGAGCTCTAAAAATAATAGTGAAAAGGGGTGTGTGCTGATATTGGGCCCCCTGAGGGGACAGGATGGGTCTGATGGGATGGTAAGAGGTCTGAGTGCCTCTCACTGTCCACAACCCCCTGCCTTCAGTCTCCCCCCTTTAGCTTGTTCCTTTAAGCCTCTTGCAAGTTAATCTTCATAAAATCCATCCTGATGGGTCACATCTCTACTCCCAAAACTCCCTGGCTCCTCCCTACCCCTCCTCTGCCTGGTTCAGGTCCCATGGGAGCTACTGTGGCCTCTCTCTGTCCTCGTTTCCTCCCAAGGCCCTCCCTTCACCTGTCGCGGCTTGGAGTGCAGATTACTCCAGCATCCCCTGTGGGAGGGGCTGGTTCTCCCTCTTGCCCCCTGCTTGTGTCTCTGGAGGAGCCCTTGGTGTACCTGCCATCTGTGCTCATGTAGAGTGTACCCAGGTCTGACTCCTCCCAGAATGCCACTCCTCTAACTTCCCTAACCTCCTGCAAGATTTGCCAGTAGGGGCTGAGTTGCCACTGTCTAGATTCAGCCAGCGAGAAGCTACAGGCTGGGTGGCTGGAATAGTCAGGGAAGATGTCCTGGAAGAAGTGGTCCCCTAGAATTTTTGGCTAGGCAGAGAGGATCTGGGAAACATTCACTAGCCATCAGCCAGCTGGTAACCTTTGGCCAGACTGTGCCTTCCTCCTTTCCCTCATCTTGTCTTAGGAAAGTCATGTAAAGGGTGGGGTTTGGGAGCTCCCCCATTTTGATGGCCATTGCTTACCTGGGATCTTCATGCCCCTCAAATCACCCAGCTCCCTAGCTCTCTCCTCTCCCCCACCCCCTCAGACTTTGAGCAGGAATCGGGCATTGAGACAGCCATGCGGTTCAGCCCAGATGTGGCCCTGGCAGTGTCCACCACACCCGCAGTGCTGCCCACCATGGACATCCAGCCTGTGGGCACCCCGTTTGAAGAGCTGCCCTCTGAGCACCCCACCCCGGAGCCAGCCACCAGCTCCCCATTGGTGACAGATGTCCCAGAAGAGCCCAGCCAGAGAGCCACCACCATCTCCACTCCTGCAGCTACTACTGCTGCCACAACCACAGGGGCCCCAGCCGCAGCCACAGTGCCCTCCACAGTGGCCACCGCCATCCCCAGCATCCCTGCGGCGCCTCCTTCTGCGGCCACCACCTCTGTCGTAAGGACCACCGGCGTACGGAGGCTTTTGCCTCTTCCACTGACCACGGCAGCCACCGTCCGGGCCACCACCCCAGCAGTGCCCTCACCTCCCACCACAGTGGCTGTCTTGGACACAGAGGCCCCAGCACCCAGGCTGGTCAGCACGGTTACCTCCAGGCCAAGAGCCCTTCCCAGGCCAGCTACCACCCAGGAGCCTGACGTTTCTGAGAAGAGCACCCTGCCCCTGGGGACCACCGCCCCTGGACCCACGGAGGTGACTCAGGTGAGCAGGTTGGGAGAGGACAGGGAGTCAGAGCAGAGGAGGATGGGTCAGGGCCTTGGGGAGTGAGGACAGAGCTGGGCAAGGGTGAAATCTGGAAAGTTCTGGAGATGAGCCAGACAGGGATGGGGAGGGGGAGAGGCTTGAGGCTGGAGGGCCAAGACTGGGGCAGGTCACAAGATGAGGACAGAGGTCAAGATGGATGGAGATGGTTGAGGGACCAGGCCTGGGTCTTCCGATGCTGGGACAGGACATCAGTTGGGGAGGAATGGGGTGAATGGGAGGGTTGGTGGGGGGAGGGGCCAGGGCCCATGTGTTGCAGTTAACAGCACAGAAATAGGAGCCAGGCGGCCTGGGCTGGAATTCTCCCTCTGCCACAGGCTACAGTAAGTCACTGATCCTTTCTAAGCCTCCATTTCCCTATCTGTGAAAAGGACGAAATAGTGGAATACAAATCATAAGACTGAGAATTAAGTTTCTTGACATACCCAAGTGCTTAGGACAGTGCCTGGTGATAGTAAACGAAAAGTTTCCCTTTTGTTATTGTCATCATCACTGCTGTCATTGCTGTCACCCACCTGAGGGTGACTGAGAGTGGGGCTGAGCGGGAAGGATGCTGTAGCTCACTCTTGGGGAGCGCTGCCTGGCGGGCAGGCTCAGTGCTGGACACTTTACCTGTGTCCTCTCTTCTCACCCTCCCACCCACCTCATGAGGTGGCACCGCCATCAGTCATCCTTCTACAGGTAAGGCCACTTTCCAAGGCTTACAACAGTGGCAGAGTTGGAATTTGAACCAGTCAGCTCCAGAGCTTGGGGTCTGTGTGTGTGTGTTTTATTACGGATGGGGATGGAGAGTGGAGGATTGAAGGGAAGAGGATGAAGGTGTCTGGAATACCGGGATGGATGGATGGGATCAAGGAAATGGCAGAAGTAGCCTGGTCCCTGCAGGGTATGCTGGGCAAGGAGGGGATCTAGTGACATGGACTAGGGTACTAAAGCCCTTGCAGCTACCTCACCGAGGAGGGCCTCAGGCTCCGGAGCTGCCTTCGGGTCAGCGTCAGCCCCTTCAACTCCCCAGCCAGCCCTAACACGTCCTAGGCCCTGTTCTCTGCTCCTCTGAGCAGCTGGGGCAACCTAGTGTTTCATGCATACTTGTCTAGGCTGGCAGGGGAGACAGTGCTGGAGCAGAGACCAGGTCACTGGCGCAGACCCTACACATGGCCTCCCCTCGGCCTAGGCACCAGACCCACCCTCTCCATGCCCACCTGTGAAGCAGCCACATCCTTGCCCCAACCCCAGCTCTGGTCCTGCCTCCATGTGGTGGGAGCCATCGAGATTTTTGGTGCTCTTGGACTGACCTCCATGCTAAGGGACTCACCCCTGCCTCAGGTACATGGGTCCAGGGTCAGGCCCAAGTATGTAACAGCTGCACCCAGCAGTCCCCAAACAGCCATCCCCGATAGGAACCCCTAAGGACTGTGGCAAAGGCAGCTGAAGCAGGAAGTGATGGAGATGGGATGGGGACCAGGTGAGAATGGAGGCAGTAGAGTGTAGTGGGTAGGAACACAGATTCTGGAGTTGGATCTGTAGTTTAGTTCTGCTTCTGTCATTTACTAGCTCTGTGTCCTTGGGCAAGCCACTTAACCTCTCTGAGCCTATTTCCTGCTCTATAAATTAGGGGTAATAATAATTGCTTTATGGAAATATTGTGAGGCTGAGATGCCCATGATGCACTTAGCCCAGTGCCTGGCACATGGTGAGAGCTTAGTAAGTGTTAGCCCCACCAGGGAAGTGGAGTTGTGATAGGGAGCTTCTGTGCTGTGTGTGGTTGCCCAGTGGCAGGGGCTGCTGGGGCCTGGCTCCTGGGCTCATGCTACCCTCCTTACAGACCCCAACTCCAGAGTCCTCTCTGACCACGACCCGGGATGAGCCAGAGGTGCCGGTGAGCGGGGGGCCCAGCGGGGACTTTGAGCTGCCGGAGGAAGAGACCACACAGCCAGACACAGCCAATGAGGTGGTGGCCGTGGGTGGGGCTGCGGCCAAACCATCGCCTCCACCCGGGACGCTGCCCAAGGGTGCCCGGCCAGGCCCCGGCCTCCTGGACAATGCCATCGACTCGGGCAGCTCGGCGGCTCAGCTGCCCCAGAAGAGCATCCTGGAGCGGAAGGAGGTGCTCGTAGGTGAGACTTAGGGCCTGGGTGGAGCCCATAGTGGGCAGCAGGTGGGAACCCAGGAGGGATGTCAGGGTGTGGGTTTCCTAGGAGCCTAGTTTCCTAGGAAGGGAAAGCTGGGGACTTAGGGACCCCAGGACCCCCCCTCTGGTTTCTCCCCTGACCTTCCCCATCCCAGGGTTTAACCCTAACTTCTTCCTACCTGCAGCACTTTCCTCAGCACCCCCTTATCCATCCTCAGACTCTGCCCTTGACCCCTGCTTCCCTGGGCCAGGCTGGTTGACCCCTTCTGGACCTTAACCCCTGGACCCTAATCTCCGACCCCATCCTTGGCTTAACTTGCTCCCACCCTGAGGGCCTGTCCTGGCCACATCTCCTGAAGTGTCTCCTGACTTGTCCAAACCCTGCCTCCTACTTAGGAGCAGTGTGGCCTCGGGCGGGTCCTTTTCCTCCAGGCTCCCTTCTCCTCATCTGCAGAAGGGGAATGATTTGCACTGTATCAATTCTCAGCGCACATCTGTTCATATGTTAACTCTTCTGCAGTTGGGATGTGTCCTAGATTAGAAGGCAGAGTTTTTTCTTTCCTAATGGTATTTAAAATACTGGAGCGTCTTTCAGTGGATGGCACCTTACATTTGATGAGGACCATAGCACAGCACCTCCCTCATAGTGCCGTATGAAGGTTGGATGTGTTTGTGTGCACTAGGGAACTAGGACAGTGCCAGGCTGCAGCGAGGGCTGTAAATGGCAGCCAGTGCTGGAGTCTTAACATGGACTCCAAACTTCACTCCAACTCTGTGGTCTCAGGTTCGAGCTTCCCTGCCCTCTCTGGACCCTTGCCTCCGCCCCTGCAGGGCCCTCCACCCTTTCCTTAGGCTCTGAGCTCATCCCACCCGGTCTCTGGCCCTTGACCTCTGCCCTCTTCGTCCACAGCTGTGATTGTGGGCGGGGTGGTGGGCGCCCTCTTCGCTGCCTTCCTGGTCACACTGCTCATCTACCGCATGAAGAAGAAGGACGAGGGCAGCTACACGCTGGAGGAGCCCAAGCAGGCAAGCGTCACGTATCAGAAGCCCGACAAGCAGGAGGAGTTCTACGCCTAGCGGAGCCACAGTGCCTCCCTGTAGCCTCAGTGCCACCCCTTAGCCCAGTCCCCGGCCTGGTGCCACCAGCCCCAACCTGGGACTGGGCCTGGGAGGCAGCCTGGCCCCAGTTCATCTCTGCCACCCTCCCAAGGTCTGCCCAGACTGCCAGCCTCACACAGCTCTTCCCCAAGTGATGGTGGGGGGGCACTGCCATCTGCCCTAGACTGTGCCCTTATGAGCTCATCGTTTGTAACCCACCAGCCTGGGGCTTCAGGACCTCATGTCAGATGGACAGGAGAAGGGAAGCTCCTGATTGGCTGGTGGAAGAAGGGGTGGGGCCTGAGTCCCAACCTGGCCCCACAGGGCCTGCTGGCTGAGGGCAGAGAGGCACTCAGGCTGATTTCCAGATCAAGCATTTGGCAAGCTCAGCCCTTGAAACATTGAGACGTTGGGCCCCTCTCTGCCTGGGTGAGCGGGTAGCCCTCACGGCCAGCCTGTTTTGTCCTGGCCTCTGTGGGGTTGTGTGGTTATTTTCTCTCACCCCTGCCTGATGCACATGCACCCGCAGGCTTCACCCCCTTCCCAGTCTGCCCCTGCGGAATTGGCTTCCCGAGAGTGGCCTGGCAGCCACTGGTGAGGAGGGGCTGGGCTGCTTGGACCTCCTCCTTCAGAGTGGACTCTGCACAGACACCGTCTCCCACATGATCACCGGTATTGTCCCACACTGACAAAAGCATGTGATGACAAAGTCACATGCAGAACTGACCACCCGGCCAATCCAGACATGTCACAGACACACGTTCTTCCAAAGATGTTTATTCTCATGGGTTTCCCACATGTTCCCCAAATGCTTATGACAATGCAAGTCACTAGTCATCGTCACCCAGTGGTGACGGTGTGGCCTGCCTCCCTCTTGCCACCACACCCCCCACCCCCACCCACACACACTCCGACACCACACACTGGCAGGAGACTCCCTGCCTCCCCCTCCAGCTTTCAAGCTCACTGGGGAGGGTGCAGTTAGGCCAGAACAATCAGCCCATATTGGGTCCCCTGGGTTGCCCTGTCACACTCAGCCCTCACGACACCCACACCAACCACATTGCCACTGAGCCCGGCGTGTCAGATGCAGTCCCACGTGGATGCATGGCCTCACCCACACAGCCTCAGTCTCACAGTGGAAGAGGGCAGGCAGATTAAGTGAGGTGTGGGAGACGTTGCCACAGGCCCCTCAGGCATTGCATACCGCAGGGCCTGGGCTCACCCTGTTTCCCGCCCCTCTGTAGCCTGCAAAGGGCTTGGTGTGGGGCCAGCCCCCACTTGCTGAGGAAAGCAGGCTGGTTCCTGGAATTTAGCCTTGGGCTGGGGAAGGGGCTTGGGTCTCCTAGGACCAAAGGCCCCAGGTGGGGAGGGGGCATGTGTTCAGGCTCCTGGTATCCCTGCCTCCCCCTCCTGCACTGAGCTCGGGGGCTGACTCTGCCTCCCAGGACACAAGTCTCCAAAGTGCCTGTGAGGGTGGGCCCTGCCCCTGGGCCCTCTGCACCCTCTCCCTTCGGCCTCGCGGGGCCCACCTCAGCCTCACCCCTGGCCCTCTCGTGGACACCCATTCATGTGGCCAAGCAACCTGGCGGTTCTTCTGGCTGCAGCTGGAAGCAGCCTGTCCAGACACACGGCCCCAGGCCGAGGGCTGAGAGCAGGCAGGGGGGTAGGGGTGTCACAGACCCCAGCCCACCTCCCCCTTCTTTGTTACCTTTACAAGTGGGGCGACTTATGTAGATATTTTAAATGTGGGTCACAAATCTCCTATGGGGGGTGTGCTTTGTGGGGGCTCTTGGAGCCAAGGGATGTGGTCTGAGTCGTGTTGGCTGGGGCTCACACCTCCACCCCTTGCCCACAGCCCAGATTGAAGTCAGGAGCCCAAGTTTTCTGTTCCCTTTTCAAGACTCAATGGCAATAGACTTCTGCAGGGAGAGGGCTAGGGGCCTGAGGGTGAGGGTGATGTGCCAGGGAGTGTCCACAGCCTGTCTCTTCCACTGGCCTACTTCTGGGCTGGGGCTCCATCTTTCAGACCCAAAGGCCCCCCTTGGCAGGGCCTGGAGGCTTGTGAGGAATGCAGCTGGTCCCAGTCTGTGAGCAGGAGCAGGGAAGGCATCCTGGGCCCACGACCTGTCGGAGGTGACCTGGCCTCAGTCATCCCTGAATCAGAAGGGCTGAGAGATGAGGGAGACCAAAGGTCCAACCTCCCTCTACCCTGCTCCCTGGTGGGCTGCTGTCTTGGGACAGCAGCTCTGGTGAGAAGGCCTGGGCAGGCCGAGGCTGAGAAGCTAGGGAGCATGGAGGAGAGAGGGCCTGGACCACCTGGGGAAGCCCTGGGATTCTGGGACTGGGGCAGGAGCCCCAGCAACGGGCGCAGCCTGGGCTGGAGCCCATGGTGGGGGCAGGGGGCCGGCACAGCATGGCCGGCCGGAGCAGGCTTGGAGTAACCACATGGGTCCAGCCTGGCCTGACTCCTCACCTTCTGAGGGTTGGATTCTAACCTGGGGCCTAGGGCTTTGCCTCCTGGCCCCAGCCTTTTCTCTGTGTCCTTAGCATTTGAGAGAAGAGGCCGAGGCCTCGTTCACGGAGCCCTGGACCAGAGACAAATGTCCAGGCTTTATCTTCACGATATTTAACACAGTCCGACCAGCCCAGATCCACTCCAGCCAGCCTGTGCCCGCAGGGCAAACCACGCACGAGAGAGGGAGGTAAAGGATGAGCTGGAGCTCTCCTAGGTGCCGTGTGATGTGTGCAGGGCCTTCCCAGATAGGCCCCCCCGCCACCCTGGGGTGCTCCTGGGTAGGGTGTCCTGCAGGGCCCCGGTGTTTCTGGGGAAGTGGGGCCAATTCCAAAGGAAGAGGGAGCTTGTGTGCTTGACTGCCACTCTGGGGCCTCAGCTACCAGGGAGCAGGAGATGGGTGGGGCCTTTTGCCCGCTATGACGTCTAGAGCCTGGGCTCTGTCTCCTCAGGGGGCCAGAGAGGGGACCTCCTTGGAAGGGTCAGTCCTCTTGATCACCGGAGGCAGATGGGTGGTCACCGGGGCTGGGCCAGGCAGGTCAGTGGGCAGTGGCTTCCGGTGCTCAGGCTGGACCCCCCAGGGGTCGTCAGCAAAGCCACCTGTCTGGCCTTCGAGGCTGAGGCCCTGGGCACGGGGAGCAGACCCACCTCTGCCTCCACCTTGGCGCTCCTGAATTTCTCCTGACAGCCACCACCCCGGACTTGCTTCCCCAGGCCTCCTGCCTGTAAATAGTAGCCCACAAACTGTGTACAGATTTACAGAGATGCCGAGGCTGGGCCCCAGAGTCACCATCTAAGGGCTGATGGCCCCGGGATCTCCGGGCGCCGACTGGACAGCTCAGTGCCCCGGCCCCAGCGTGGCGAATGCATGTAAATATTTTTCGTAGGCAGCGTGGCTCCAGAGAGCCCCCTGAAGTCAGTGTCCCTCCTGTGTGTCCTTTCTCCTGTACAGAACCCTCCAAGAACCCTGTCTCGGGTCGAGGGGGAGTTTGTCTTTCCCTCCCCCAGGCCTCCCCTGCCCTTTCTCTCTCCCATAACCTGTCTATTAACCGTACCCATCCTGAGTTCATGGCCAAAACTTTCAACAAGAAAAAGCGGTGGAAGAAGAGACCAAGGCACCTACTCTGCTGTGGGTGCTTACCTGTCCCAGCTTTGTGAAGGAACTGTTTGGTTTTGGGGTTTTTGTTTTTTAACACTTCCCGTGCTGTGCCCATTTATAAGAGGAAATAAAATTAAGCTGAAATGATGCACTGTGGTCAGAGTGTGAGATCAACATGGAGGTCCTGGAGGGAGGGACAGACCATGGTCCCCCTCAGGCCTCAGCCATGTTCCCATTTAAAAGAGACTGAGAAGCAAGCAAGGAAAATTGACCAGCAACCCCTCATGGGAACCATTATGGTAAAAGCTGCTGTCGGTTGAGAGTGTTTGGAAAACCACGGAGCTGACTGTGGCGAGGCTGGGTGGGACTGTGGTTGGGTGGGGGTGAGCTGTGGTGGCATTGGGGGCCCTGTGGTCCAACCCCCAGGGGAAGAACTGTGGTTTGAGGCCACAAGGAGAGAATCTTGGGGCTGCAGGATACTGGAATTGGACCGACTGAGATGGGATATCTTTGGAGTCTGAAGGGCCTGGTTTCAAGCCCAGGTGACGTTTCCTAGCTCTGACTCTGCAGAAGCTACTTGGCCTCTCTGAGCCTCAGTGTTCTCACCTGAGAAATGGGATACCCATTACCAACATCCTCTAGGTGGGATGCAGCAAGGATTCGGTGAGGAGGCCGACTCAGCACAATGTCTGGCACAGCAGGGTCTTGGGTGATGGCATCAGAACAGAGCAGAACCCCGGACCAGGAAGAGTTCCAGGGCCTGGAAGCACAGATTGCCTCCTGGGATCACAGGGAGCTGGGAGGGCCAGCCCTGGGCCCCTGGGGTAGAGATCCCTTCTTGGGGATTTTCCTGCCCCTGCCCACACATCTCTTTGTGACAGGGGCTCGGTGCATCCTGGGGACCAGTGGGTCACTCTGCCTGTTGAGAAGTCCTTTATGTCCAGCCAAAATCTGCCTCTCCGTTGTTTCCCTTCTCAGGTCCTCACTGCCCTCCGGAGGTGCGCGGGGCTCTGCCTCCAGGCATGGCTGTGGCCTTCCCTCCTCCAAGGGAAACCTCCGCGCATCCCACGAATGTTACCCGTAGAGACGTGTTCTCTTAAAATGTGATTGTCACAGAGTCCTGATGGTTCTGGGGAGAGTTGGAGTCCGAGGCTCTTGGATTTGGTACACAATCCTACCCCTCCCACCCTTCACTGAAGTTTCTTGAGTGCCCACCCTGTGCCAGTCCCTGCGCTTGGAGCCGGGGGACGAGAGGTCTACAAGACAGACCCAGCCCCTGCCCTCACAGCGCTTACAGTCTATTGGGGAAG